TGAGTGTGAAACGTCAGATGATTAAATCATCATCCCCAGAGCTCGCCTTACCATCTTCTTCAATTTCAACACCTGAGGTCAGCATTTTCGCCTACATCCATATATATACATATATATATGCAGAATAGTATTACCGACAAAGACAAGGGAGACTGGAATGGCCATTTCTGGCTTATTAGCCGTCGTCAGCCAGCCATACCCAAGCCCGAAGTGTGGAACACCCGAGCCTCGAACTCGCGACCTGTTGGTTTAGAAGTCAACGCCTCTACTCACCGGGCCACGAGCCCGTTGCCTTGCCTATATATCATGCGCCGCTGTGCGGCTGCTGGTTGGGCTCGAGAGAGAGTCCATAAGGCACAACGGAACGAGTGAGTTCCGTATGAAAGATCGGTGAGCGCCCCCTAACATTATATATATATATATACTATGACAGTTGGCGCTCACCGATCAGGTAGTTTACGGAACATGCTCGTTCCGTTGTGCCTTTGGGACACATACTAGAACCCTCGCAGGCAGTCGCACAGCGACTAGTAGTAGACATTGGTGAGATGGAGCCGAAAAAGACACGGGAGACCGGAATGGACATTTCTGGCTTATTTGCCGTCATCATCCAGTCATATCCAACCCCGAGTGGGGATCACTTGAGATTCGAACCCAGGATCTTTGGTCATGGAGTCTGACACTCCACCATTGAGCCACGGGCCCGTCTTTCTGGCGGTTGTGATCGGGAATATGAATTATGACAGATGAGCGCTCACCGATTAGGTTACAGAACATGCTCGTCATGATCGGTGAGCGCCCACTATCATAAATAAATATATATAGACCTATGGACAGAATAACATCCCAAAAACCACCCTACTGCGGTCGATGCGCGCCTCTCAACCGACAAAGACAAGGGAAACTGGAATGGCCATTTCTGACTTATTAGCCGTCGTCAGCCAGCCATACCCAAGCCCGAAGTGTGGAACACCCGAGCCTCGAACTCGCGGTCTGTTGGTTTAGAAGTCCACGCCTCTACCCACCGGGCCACGAGCCCGTTGCCCTTTCGGTTTTCGATCGGGAATATACAATGGTGAATTGCAAATGTAGGAACAATGGTAGGTACGACAAGCCCGTGGCTCCGACGAAAAAATGTGCACTCAAAAGTCGACATACTGGCTAGTCTGAAATGTTACAGGGTTATGCCGCAAGATAATCAGTAATAACAAATCCACCTAAGTAAATCTTCCTAATCGTAGGCGGATTTGAGAATTTTGGTCAACTTTTCATTTGATCTGCCACACACTGTATATCGTCCGTTGTCAACATTCCCGGCCACGACTCTTGTTACGCCGTTATACATTAAAGAGCGTCAACTTTAGCATACTTTGAATGTGTCGGTTTTCAGTATGATTTATTTAGCAGCGTCGGCCCTAATCTCTTCCCACTCTCATGCACCAGTCGAATATCAAAACCTCTCGGTGAAGTAGTGATGTGACTGGGATCTTAGGTAGACAAAGCTTAATTGTTTGTCTATGCGTGTCAAGCACACACAGACTGGTCCCACCACATGTAGCAGGCCACATCAAATGACATGTAATGGCTTTCAGTATTGCGTCCAACATAACCGTGATGGAAAAGTGGACCTGTGTCTGTTCATCCCCGTGGTCGCGGGCGCTGCCGCTTAACTGTCCTGTCTTTGGCTTGCCGGACAAGCCTGTCGGTGACTACTCCCGTGCGTGTGGCTCTCTTTGGCTTGCGGTCACCATGGCGCCGATCGATATTTATATCTTCACCGACTGATCGCAACAGGACAAGGCCCAGGCACTGTGACTTGTCCGGTGAGGACTCCTGATGCAGTCGCTGCCTGCGCTATGTCTACAATCCCCGGTCTCGGTGAAGCTTGTCGCCTAACTGTTTTCCCTGTCTTCTCATCCTGGAACTTTCGAGATTTCCATCGTCATGTCTCGACATAGCACATGCTTGCTGGGGGAGATAGCCATCTGGTTACTTTGATGGCGGGAACGCGCGTGCTTTGGCTCGGGTTCACACGCAATCGATGGAAATGTGTGGGCCGGCTGGAGGTTGTAGATTTATGGGGTCCAAAAAATGGTGCTTTGCTAGAGATTTTCACGAAAGGTCCTATTCAGGAGCCCAAGAAACTATCAAACATGAAACCGAAACTCCTACAATCCATAGTTCGTTTTTAAAACTTTTGCGATTCCCATGCCTTGAAATCCAGTTTTTAGTTTAATACTTGCACCAACTCACATCCTATTAACTAAACGGACATCCACAAAAATGCAGACAGGTTGCAGCTGAAATGGATGAACATCTGTTAAGTTTTTATCCCGCGCACTAAGGAGACTGACAGCGCACAAACAAATCTATAGTGGACCTATTCTATTCTAACCGAATAACCTTGCGGTAGCCAAGTGTTCTGTGGCAGTGTGGATAGTTCAGTGGGAGCTATGGGCGGGGATCCAAACTCCTGCCATTGGTTCGCGGGGCTTACTGCGACGGTTTTGCTAGTCAGCGACAAGGTCGCTGAATGGCGCAAACGCACAGCCGCAGATAGGACAGGGTTGTTCAGAGGCTTCTGAGCTGGTCATACTGACAGAACTGTTAGTGGCAGTGACCCTGATAATTGACTTATTAGTGCTGGTAGTATAGGAGATTTCTGGTGTAGGAAAAGGACTGTTTATGTGGAATCTGTGTTGAATTCCGCTGTCACTCATGCGCATATGACCACAAAGACCAGTGTATCATCCGAATGTCCTGGGGGCAATGTGGGCAGGTGATTAATGCGTGACGGGTGCATGGCGGGGCTCCAGGCAATACGTCGTCATTTGCAGTGCTGTAGATTCGCAAGTGACCAATCGGGCCGATTTTCCGCTCAAACGTGCGGCTAAAACAGGGAGATTTGTAACTGGGTTCATATGGTCGGTGGCAGGGGCAATAGTGGTGAGGCTTAGCAGACTGTTGGAATGGCTTACTGATACTGGTAGTGGTAGTGGCAGTGGGAAGTGAGCTAAGGGACGTGTTACCGTTGCGCTGGGTCCACAGAATTCCAGCGAGTCTGATCAGTGTCCAAAACATCCGCCATGAAGATGGAATAGATGGCGCTACTGGGCGTTTGGGTCCTCCGTTCGCAGCGCTTGGGTTTCGGGGCCATTGTCCCTGCCCTGGCAGTGACTATCTAATTGGCTTTGGATGTGGTTGCCCCAGTCTTTACGGGTGTGCATCACTCCTTCAGAGCTCTAACCAGCTCCTCTCAGGTTCCGAGTACCGCTGGAGATGCTTGCATGCTGAACTGTTTTCTGTTGGTCTGGTAGTCGATACTGATCCACAGCCGTTTCTCGCGGTAGGCGTCTATCAGCACATTGAAGTCCACAAGACTGTGAAGGATGACAACGATTACGCCGCCGTGATTCACACTTCCTACGATGTTCACAGGGGAGCTGCCTCTACGGTCATCGAAATCTTGCTGGTTCTCTTGTGTTAAAGATGTACACAGTGGTAGCACCCTGGAAGTCTTGAGGATGTGTTCTTTTCGCAAAAAGTGGTAGAGCTTGTTTGCAGAAATGGGCACCTGCAGCCCTATAGTCGCATGCAAATGAAAGTTAATGTCTTCTGTATGCATTTTGTTTGGCCAGTGTGGTACAATAAAATGAAAAGCTCTTATTTGATTTGTTCCGCATGTGAATTGGCATTTAGCATATGCTAACTACATTTTCGTCGGCTTCTGTCCACCAAATGTTTATAGGTTTTGTATTAGCGCATATATTCATCCCAAGTAAATTTCTGAGTCTTCAGTCACGTCCCCACACTTTATTTCATGTGTTCTGCTGAGATATTTTTGGTAGCCTTTATCAGTTCTCTCTGCGTTCTGACCGTGCTTCCATAATTGACTTTCCTTACGTCAACATTTCACTGACTAAGTCTTGTATTAACTTTATAGATCTGGACCAAGCACTTCCCGGTTTGGCTTAAACCGAGACCTATTCTGTATTTTTGCGGAACACGCATGCAATGCCACTGTTAACGAATGACACTGTTTTTTCCGTTGTCTTGATCGTCATATAGAAGTGCCGGTCGGCCGCTCTTGATACCTGTGGTAGGTTTCTTCTGAACTCTTCCATTTTTTAATCCTACTGTTGAAACCTGCAGATTATTATAGAATAAATGACGGATTTTTGTACCATTTCATCGCTGGGGCAGTTAAAACCACGTGTGTTTAAGTGCATCAGTTCTAGTAGTAGGTGAGTGCTTGGAACCCCGAGTCCGAGTATTCCAGATCTTTCTCGGCGGTCTGGTCGCTTCGCAATGGCTGTGGCTGTGGTTGGTTTTGACGTTGGGAGCTTAACTTCGTACATCGGGGCCGCAAGAGCCGGAGGCATCGAAGTTCTGGCCAACGAATACAGTGACAGATGCACACCGTAAGTCCTGTTTTTGTCATTATTGTCGCCAGGACGTGCGTGTCCTTCTCAAAAGGCTCTCGCTGCGTGGGTACGTCGGCTGAACAGCAGAGTATCACAAACCTAAAGAACACTGTCACGACATTCACTCGCCTCCTCGGAAAAATGTACAATGATGAAATTGTTGCAAAGGAGGTGGAGTACGCCCTCTACCGTATCAAGCCCGATAAGGATGGTCGTGCTGGCGTGGAGGTAGGTCTTTCCTGAAAGTCTAGATTGCTCAGGTTGAAGTTGACGGACAACCCCTAGTTTTGCTGCCCGAACAGTTGCTAGCCATGCAGCTGCACAAATTAGTGGACATAGCGGAGAAAGCTCTTTCGAGCAAGGTGGTGGACATAGTCCTCAACGTGCCGACTTATTACAGCGACCGCGAAAGAAGAGCGGCTTTGGACGCTGCCCGCATTGCAGGTCTAAACTGTGTACGCATTGTCAACGACACCACAGCCAGTATGTAAACTGTTTTAAATCGATACGCCTATTAGTTGGAATTGCATATGGCATATACAACAGAGATTTACCAGGGCCGGAGGAGGCTCCAAGAAACGTTGCTTTTGTTAGTTTAGGAAATTCAAGCCTTCAAGTGTCCATAAGCGCATTTAATCAAGGAAAGATGAAGGTCCTTTCCACGGCTTCCGACCCCTGCCTTGGCGGACGTGACTTCGATATGTGCATATTCAAGCATATGGCTGAAGAAATCAAAGAGCAATACAAGATTGATGTAAGCCGTTCCACACTTGCTGTCATTTTTTCAGGTTTTCAAGTCACCGAAGTCACGAGCACGTCTATTAAAAAGCTGCGAAAAACTGAAAAAGGTGATGAGTACTAACTCGACGGACATCCCTCTCAACGTTGAGTGTTTAACGGAAGACCGAGATTTCAGCTCAAGCATGAAACGAGAATTCTTCGAGGTACGTAGAATTCATCAGTAACACAATTTTCAAGGATTTGTGTCAACCTCTCCTGATAAGGGTCAGAAATACCCTTCAGCGGGCTCTTGATGCCGCTGGCCTGAAGCCTGACAATGTCCAGTTTGTGGAATTAGTTGGGGGAGGCACCCGCATCCCGGCAGTCAAACGGATAGTGGCGGATGTCTTCGGAAAAGAGGGCCGAACAACCCTTAATGCCGATGAAGCTGTCGCACGAGGATGCGCCCTACAGGTAAGGAGTCAGAGCTAGCTTTTTCAGTACTTTCACGCCCTATAATAAGCTACACGTCAGCATTTTTCCAGAAGTCGCCTAGTATACTTGATCTAGCGATTAATTTTAAGCTCAGTCCATCAGACTCTAGGTGGTGGCGTTAGGCATCTCTAGCGGACGACGCTTTTGCCTGCAAACGTTTCAGACAACCTCGTTAGCTTACATCCAGCACGAAGATATCCCGGCCCTTGTATAGCCACAACTGCCGTCCATCTACTGAGTTACTCCTTGATGCAGTAGAAATGAAAAAAGAGCAGGCCGCCTGTCAAGAACTGTCCAGATTAGATGTATAGGCGCGGTTCAACACTGTTGGCTGACCGGCCGCCCGGCCTTCGGCACAAATTTGATGGGTAGTTACCCTCGTCAGGCCAAAGCTACGCTGCCGCCGCTCCAGCGTTTAGAAAAGGTTACAGATCTCTTTGTATGCGCCAAATTGATCCTAATCCTGCCATTTCGTTAGTCCCCGCGGTCGTCCCTCTCAACCGTTCTAATTTATTCCGCAACACACAGGCAAAAGAAACAAGTATAGTTTTTGGCCGAGTGTGGAATATACTGACCAGTACTGCAATTTTTGCAAAAGCCTTAAACACCCTGTTAACTTCAGTCTGCCTTCTCGTTGTTTCGTGAATTACACCCACCTCTGTCGATTCATCATACCGATACTTTACAGAACAAGTGCCAAAGTCCGTTCGAATAGCGAGAATAGTGACTTTAAGCACACCTGGTATCCTTACGGGGTGTATTCCCTTACCAGCTCTTCCCAGCCGCTTATAAGTTGAATTTTATGACATCTCTCCCCCCCTCCCCCCACGTTTAAGTCACCGTCCTGCATAACTCCAACATTAGATTCCTAGCTTTACCTGAGAATCGTTAACAGTTAGCCGACAACGCAGTGACAGACCTCTTCTGAGTACGTGTTAGCGTGCAACCAATCCCTTTAAGTGGTTGCTGTGTGGCATCATTGGAATTTTTCGAGCCCTGTAATAGTCTTAAAGCATGCTGTTGTTGTGCTCTTAGGCATGCGAATGCGCGCCTCAATATCGGCATCTTTCAGTAAGCCACATATGGGACTTTTAAGTCGCGTTCTCTTTGGCTGCACAGTCATAAAGGAGCAAAGGAGTATGTAATGGATGTTTTGCCATCGCAACCATCGTTTCCAGTTGAAGCTGAAGACCGCACATACATCTAGACCGTCGCCAATGTTTTACAGGGTCTTTTTCGAAATTAAACCAAAAATCCATTGTATTACCTGCTGAAACCCCTCCCCACCCAGAACAGGTTTCCTCATGCTTTATACAGCTTTCATTTTCTTGTACCAGTTACTCTAACTGTATGAATGATTTATAACACGATTTCCGTTCCAGGCTGCCATCTGTTCACCGGCCTACAAGGTTCGAGAATTTGCTGTGGTGGACGCTTGTCAGTACTCAATCTGCATCCAGGAAGTGGATAAGGGTGCCACGATGGCGCAGGAAATATATCCGGAATTGGCTCCTTTCCCCTCCTCCAAACAACTTACGTATTATAAGAAGTCTGACTTCGGCTTGAGGGCCGTCTACTCAGCGCCAGCCAGCCTGCACATAAAAGATCCGGAAATCGGGTCCTTCCAGGTCCTGAATATAGTGCCTGAAAATGATGCTGCTTGTGAAGTTCGCATCAAAGTGCGCGTCGATGCCAATGGAATCTTTTCAGTCCGCAAAGCGTCCATTGTAGATAAGGTCGAAAAGGAAGTTGAGGTGCCAATAGAAGAAAAGCCGAGCGATCCGGCCCAAAAAATGGAAACGAAGGCTGAAGGTGATAGCCAGTCGGATGCCGTCGAGGCGACAGAGGGGGGCAACCCAACCCCACAACAACCGGAACCTATGGCGGTCGACGGTGTTACCACCGCGGGCCCTCCGCAGCCAGAGAAACCAAAAACGCAGAAGGTTAAGAAACTGGTTTCCCGCCTACGGGACGTCTCCGTGAATACGAGTAATAAACAGTTAACCCCGGCACAGGTTATAGAATTCACCGAATTTGAGGTGAGTAGTTTCTCTAAGAGGAGTTTTATACGACACTGCCCACTTAACTCTTACTTACGGCTTCATTAGACTTTCTCCGAGCTTGAGCGACTTGTAGTTTTGTAATGCTATCTACATTAGACTTAGCAGGTAACTACAACGTCATCGCTACTTCACAAACGGTCTCGCGTCACATTGGTTGAAATCGGGGATACTTAGCCGCATGAGAGTGGCCTGAACCGATCTATCCGGGTTGCAGGACGGAAAGGAGCAGTCCGTGATTGGAGCATCGCTGGATGATAGCTGTAGATAAGTCAAAAATCGCCATTCCCGCGTCTTTGCCCTTGTCGGTAGACTTTCTGTGTAGATGATTTTCTCGAATGTAGGCGAAAGTTCCAGTTCCAGGTGTATATGTAAGGGATCTTCTGGCCGACACAAACAGTTATGGATTTAAGATGGTAGTCAGTTAGTTCGATTTCCCCAAAAGCGGGACTTGGCAAGTGTGGTTTTAGACTCTCAGCTCACGCGATGTAATTGAGTCAGTTGTGAGTTGCCGAACTGAGCTTCATTTGAGACCCATTCTGGCCTCTGCGAACTGTTGCTAAATACTTTGTGTTTTTATGATGCCATAGTCTTTTGTCCACGTGTGCAATATTTTTCTGTCGTCCACTTATTGAATTCAAGATCCATACGCATCCATTTGTTGCTATCTTATGGCACCTTTCCTTTTACTAGGCGAAGCTAGATCAGCAGGACAAGTTGGAACGAGACCGTCAGCACTGGAAGAATTCCCTAGAAGAATATGTCTACGATCTTCGATCAAAACTAGAGGGTCCCCTCTCACAATTTGTTCTAAAAGAGGAGAGATCTAACTTCTCTCAACAGCTGACGGACGCGGAGGATTGGGTCTACGGTGATGGGGAGTTTGCTAAGCGAAGCGAGATTCAACAGCGCCTAGAGGAGCTGAAAAGTGCGGGTGAACGGTACAAAAAACGCATGACTGAGAGTGAGCGCCGTCCAGGTGCTGTCGATACGCTAAGCCGGGCATGCATGGTAAGTCTTCAGCTAGCTCTGTGATTGCGCCAGACATTCCTTGTGAGGTCCCATAGCGTTTATTTATTTGAAATTATAGACAAGGAGTTGCGCGTCTTGGAAGGCGTCTTGTTACGCGTTATGACAAGTTGTGTGCTTTGGTCTATTTTTGCGTGTTAGGCGTTGGACAGAACCTCTATGCCGTGTCAGCCGCTGCGCCCAATCTAATCTCCAGTCAGCTTGACCCTGAACTGTCGCGTGTGAGGAGGGAAAGTAAAGTCATTCCTGCCTTGATCGGACGCTCAGGCTCCCAAGCTCTCTTTGAAGTTCGCAAGGCTGTTAGAGGGTTGCCAGTTGACGGGATAACTCAGTTTCTCTCCGCACTGAGGGCTAGGATGCAGTGGCTTTTTAACACGTCCCTTGTGGCATTGTTTATGAGATCCAACCTCCCTCGGTGAAGCCTGGCGCTTGTGAAGTTATCGACTAGGTCGTGCGTAATGCACAGACAGGCTAGCAGGCTTTGCTTGCGACTGAGCTTACGCCCCCGCACCCGCTCGTCCCGGCAATGTCTTATCAATCGAGCACTGTAGTCGGGAAGGGAATGAAGTCAAGCGAATTCATTACGAGTCTGCTTCGCTATAAAGAAGTCAGCGCGCAAGTCACTAATCAGTCCCTCAGAGGTGACTCTCTTTACTCGCGACACTTATTAGTCCTAGCAGCGGAAGGTCCTATTCACAGCTGGTATCAGAACTGTTTCGAACGACCTTTTTCAAATCGTCTTCGGATTTTCACCCCTCACATATTGACTTTCTTAAGCACTACCGCAAAATTCTGGACCAGTACTCCGCAAAGGACCCTGCCTACGACCATCTTCTCAAAGAAGACATGGATAAGGTTGCAGGTTGGCTGAAGGAGACGGAGACATTCCTCTACTCCACAACTAGCGCCATAGCTGCAATGAAACCAACGGACGACCCCTCTATCACGGCCGATCAGATCTTATCGGAGGCCACGGTAGGCTTGTATTTTAATTTACTCAGGTCTTTATTCGCACTAATGAGTTTCACTACGAACTAGTGGCCATTAGTGGACATTAGCCATCAAATATATAAAGATCTTTAACTCATTTAACACCACGATGGACAGCCAACTGAAGATTTGCGAAAATATTTGTTGAACTGCGAATGATTGATGTTTTGACGATTTCAGAACCTTGAGGCTCGCTGCAAACCCATCGTTACCCGACCAAAACCAGCACCGCCTGCGCCCAAGGCAGAGGCTGGTGAGAAGGGCTCTGAGTCTGTGAGCAATCCTGCAGCGAAGGGAACACCAAAGAAGTCGAAGGACGTCAAGGCAAATGGAGTAGACCCCGCTGGTCAGGAAATGGATGTGGATTAGCTCGTATTCAAGTTTTTGGACATATCGTCATTCCCCACTTTTCCGCCACACTTTGATCTAGTGTTGTACTTTTTCATGCTTACTTTTCCGACATTTCGTCGGAAACTTTGTCTGACTGGCCCACCCGAAGTTAAAACATCCTATGTGATTGTTACAGATCGACAAAATGCATTTTTTTTATTAAGCCCCTTCCGATTTGGATGTGGGATCTCTTGGGCGTGAACTGGCTGCAGATAGTTCGACCAGATAGGCAACTTGCCATTTTTCGATCGAAACCGTGGACTGATACTCTATTCTAAGGAGTTCACTGTAAGAAGGCAGTTTTGGTCTGGAGACGATCGAATTGGCATTGAAAAAGGAGCTAAAGGGCCTGGGTTAAAAGAGTTTACTTTCGGTTGGGCCTGGGTAGTGCTGGGGCTACACTTTTTAATCAGTCAAACAACTGAGCTATGATTACAAGCTGATGGTTGTGGCGTGGACGATTGACAGATGGCGGAGCGACTTGAACCGCTATGGCTCCTTGGCGTGACCTTCGTATCACTTGCTTATGCACGGTCCATGATCCCCCTTCCTTTGGGATGTTTCGTGTGGAGGAGAAGCCTAAACGAGCGCCCCGTGGTGCAGAGCACTTGGGCGGTGCTCGTAGATTAGCTATAACAGGTTTTTGACCCTGAAAGAGGTGGCACATTTGCACTAAGAGCGGAAACGTGAGGTGGGGAACGAAGTGCCTGGTCGGCCATCGTGCCTCCTGTGATCAACCGGTCTGACTGGCTGTGAGTCCATGATGAGAAAGTCCGGACAGGGGCGTCGCGCGCGGCCGCGTTGGAAGTTAGGGTATGGGAGGTTCGCAGCTGGCGGCATAAGTGGTCTCTGGGGACCGAAAGTCGGGCCACAATGGCCCGGTGACGCTGTCTCCGAACGGTCCGTCGGTTTTATGTCCGGGAGCGTAGGATCTGGTTTGGGACCATTGTGGGACCAGTGCGGACGGGACGCTTGTGAGGCAGGAATGGAGAACAACAGGTCGGCGGCTGTGCGCTTCGGGTTCGAGCAGGAATCCGAAACGTCAGGTGAATAAAGCTCTTGTCCCTGCGATCGTGTCTCCTTCACAACTGCTTACTGGGACTGGTCTCCGCTTCCATTGGCTCCCCGACATTGTTTTCGCTGCTGGCCTTGCTCTACTCAACTTGAGTGACGTTTCGCACCGTTTCGCTCGTGTCACGCTGGCAGGCTAAGTTAGAATGGTCGACCCCTCTTGCCTGAGGTTTTTGCTGTTTTTCTTGTGGTGCTCGGGCAGACCCCTTCAGTCTTTAGACCAGGACTGAGCTACGGACAGGCACTGGCGGTAGTTGGCCAGCCAGATCGTGGTAAGAACACGCCACACCCACTGAACGACGATTGCAGCAGTGGGCGTCTACCACCTGTGTAAGGGTGAGTACGAACGCAGCAGATGCACAGTAAACAGACAGGTGAAAATCAGGGCCTCAATGTGGGAAGTGGAAAGCGATATAGGGACCAGTTGCCTTACTCCTGTGCTTAGCAGTGGACACAGGAATATCGAGAAAAGGAAGTGGGTTGGACTGAACCATGACAACCTCCCCTCCTTTTGAAACCAGCCCCAGGCCACACTGTATCCCCAGCACCGCTGTTCATAATGCCTGCGAAAACGGTGTCATATTAGGGGGCGCACTCCGGAACTTTGTATTTCCTACTAAGCTTCAAATCGTTTCTACCCCGGATCTTATCCTCACGTCATTATGACTAATTTTTTGCCTCATGAAAATAGGTCAATTTCCATCACTATGCCGTATAAGGCTATCATGTTTTCTGTTTCTGTGAAATTTATGGCGTACACTGTCACCCAGCGGACCAATAGGGTGCGCATACATGTTTTTAAACGCAACATTTGGGGTGGTAGATAGCCAAACGCCGACTGAACCACTGTAGGCAGGGGAAATGAACATTGTGAACATGCTGCCGAACGCAATCATCTCCCAGGGCGACGGCCGAACGCTGACGTCTACCCAAGGAAAGTAGATACCGATCATGTCGGCACGGATTTCTGGAGAAGGAGGAGGGTGGGGATAGGTTGAAGTTATATTTTCGCCTTGTCACGGAGCGCAGGAGAGAGTCGACAGGCTCTTTTGAGGATTGGACCGAGAGTCCGGGGTATGAGTAAGAGATATTAAAGATTCCGAGGATACGAAGGTGGCAGCTGCTGGGAGGATCACAACTAACTACCCCGTCGACTAAGCACCCAAAGGCATAATGTGCATCTGAAAGAGGCGATAGCCGGACAACTCTTTTGACTGGACAGCGAATATGACAGAGCCGGAGTACCGAAAATGCGAAGGGAGACTGAGATGGCCATTTCTGGCTTATTGGCCATCGTCAACCAACCATACTCAACTCCCGAATTGCAAGGTTTGAGATTCGAATTGACGTCTCTTGGTCAGGTCCTGCAAGCCTGGGCTTGAGCGAGGACGGCAGACGATGGCCAATAAGGTAGAAATGGCCGTCCTAGTCGCCTTCTGTTTTGGTTGGAGCCCTGCATGCACTACTGGTCGTCAGATGACTGCCCGCGAGGTCTACAGAAGGCACGACAGGAGGAGCGTCCGTCACCTGGTCGGTTTGTACGCCCTAGCACAATTAGTATGCGCTGCCCCTTATACAAACAACGGACTGCAGCGTAATTCTATCCAAAACCGTATGCTGTAGACGAGCTGCGGATAGGACAGACGGAATCAGTAGAACTCTGGAGGCTATAGACGCCACCAAAGTTGAACATGGGAGCTCGTATACTTGGAAAGCCATAATGCAGACTCAGAGAGCCTGCCACTTGTCGTGGCCTTCAGTGCAAGAATCCATTCAACCCGATCAGCTACTCCTGAAACGAGAAAGGTAGCTTTTTGTGACTCTTGCATTGTTACCCGAACCACTATAATCAACCCTCAATATGGGTGGAGTCAATGAGCAGCGACGTCTTCGAAATGCGCTACGACTCATAAACGCCCGTTTTATAAGAAGGAACAAAGTCTCTTCTAGGTGAAAAACTGATAAAATAGAAGCGAGTTCCAGGAAGTAGTCGCGAAGAAGGAGACACAGTCGTTAAAACAAGAGCTTCATTAGCCTGACGTCTCGGTTTCTCACTTGAATCCATCACCAGAGACAAAGTCAGATAAGGGTAATGGATTGCCCAAGTGTTGCAGTGTTTACAGGATCTAGTTGCTAGGCGCCACACGCCTGGAAACTGCCAAATGCATTCACGGCTCCACTGGCCAGGTGTTGAATTATGCAGTTGCCATGCAGTTGCTATGCCCTTGTGTGTAGGTCAATATTATCGGACCCCACGCTCATCGCATGCAGTCGAGTAGCCAACTGCCGGATTTCTTCATCCGTGTGGATATTTGGGCAATTTGGCTCGCCGACATTGACGCCACGAACAGTGGTCATCCGTACGCTCTCCTCACCGCTAACTACTTTGTCTAGACAGAGTCTCGGCGCCGAATATATGGAGGGAAGGTCGTTGTGCTTGTTGATCGACTGAGGACTCAAAAACTATGATTCGAGCAGTTTGCGGCTCACGCAGTTGTGGCCTCTGGCAAGAATTTCTGTTTCGTCAAACCTGGATGTGTAGTTGGGTCCCGTCGAATGAGCCGCAACTTGGGAGCTGGCGTCGTTCCTCCTCACTGCTTGTGCATGCTCAGCTATCCGCGTCCGAAGTAGTCTTTCAGTTCCTCCGAGATAGTTGCTTTACCCACAACTGCACCAGACCGGAGCCAATCACAAGGCACCAGATCACGAGGCCAAAAGATCCGTTGTCATGGCAAGAACCACCCTGGCTTGTTTACCGGGTCTTCTTGAGCCTGTCTTGACATGGGATCCAGGTGGGGAAGGAGAGAGTGCGGCAAATGCTACCCAAGTCTACCATCACTGTAGAAGACATCATGCACAATTCACCGTCCCTACTCGCACCCGGCTATTAACCAAATGATGGACACCGTTGATCACAACGGTCGGACTGTCATATTGTTTTCTTGTGAGAGAGAGAAAACAGGAGTCTACAATTTATGTGAAGCAAAGAAAATATCAAGCTGAAAATTCTCCAAAGCCGGAATTAAACAAAAGCGACGATGCAGATTTTGTTATTTTTGAACGGATCATCAAACGCGGGAGCTTCATTTCCCGTACAGCTGAGTTTCCTTGGAACAAGCGTGGTTTCTACGAGCACAATGTCCTTCTGTGTGCAGGAGGAATACCAGCAGCTCGTGGCGACTCCTCGGAGACTATACTGTGTGCGGGGTGTAGTGTAGTAAGCGCGACGATTCCATGGCATGGCAAGAAGGCAGTGCTGGATGGGCAAATCCGTCGCCCACGGCCGGAGACTTGGCTGAATTACACAACCAATCAAAACTTCAGGTATCATTAGGAGTTGGTTGTCCTCGATCCTGACTGCCTTTTTCAATTTTTCCGTCCAAGTTGCTCGTAATCTTCCAATTACTGCGTCACGCCACTGCTGCATCTGACTAGAACAGAGTCATGTTAGCACGTGGCATCTGTCAGTGGGGTTGAAATGCGTATGTTCTAGTTTTAATCTCATGCTGTCGTGCGGATGTCAAGTGCTAAAAGGAGCTCCTTATGCCACCTCAATCACCATACCCACTCTCCGCGCCGGTTGGCCAACAGGCCTGAATGGGAAGGCAAGAGAGAGAGAGAGGGTGAGGTCGATTTGGCGCGGACCAAAGGCTTAGTCTCGCAGCTATAAACAATCATAAAAGAGTTCCAACTATCGTGGCGCCCAAAGGAGCCCAGACTACAAAGGTTGTCAGCTGACGGAATAACCCACAATGGCTCCTTCTTCATATGGCATTTATAGCACATTCCACTCATGTGATATCTTAACGACCCTATGATGAGCTCCATGTCACTGTCCCTCAGTCGAGATGTGAGCCGACTCCCTGGCGTTCTGGTAAAAACCTGGTTCATCGTGCGTGGACCGGGCG